ACACACACACAGACATACAGACACACACACAGACATACTGACACACAGACAGACAGACATACTGACACACATGTAAAATGTACATTTTTAAACCCACCCTCCAGTTTCCTACCTTTTGCTGGAGGATGGCTTCCCTGGAGTCCAGTGTGGTGCCTGAGCATGATGGGAGTGAGGATCCTCCATCCTCACTGCAGCCGCGTCCTCTCTCCCTCATGACTCCTCCTGCCAGATTCCGTGCAGCTCCTCTGTTTATGGGAGGAAGTGACTTGCGGCAGTCACTTCCTCTCAGCCGGCTGCCGGAAAGCAAGGGGCCCGGTCACAGTGTTAAAGGGCAACAGCGCCCAACTGGGCCCCTGCTGATACAAGCCCACTGGGTGGCCCTAAGTGCATGGGCCACCCGGTGGGACTCAGAGAATGGGGGAAAAAATAAATTGATGAGGGCAGCGGGGCCCACGGGGCAGGTGCCTCGGGCCCCCCAAGAGAAACTGGGCCCGGGGCAGCTGCCCCGTTTGCCCCACGTTAAAGACGGCCCTGCACACACAGAAACACAATACATCTCTTAAACACACTCAATGCACCCCTTACAGACACACACACTGCATCCCTTACATACACAGAAACACACCTTGCATCCCTTACACATACAAACACAGATTCACATAATGCATCTCTTAAACACAACCAGAAACACACAATACATCCCTTACACACAAATACACACTGCTTTCTATCCCTTACACAAAAACACACTGCATCACCTACACAAACTGTTATCCCTATACACTACATTCCATAAGCATACACTTTAGATCATCTGCATTAACACCTAACACATCCCCTACACACTCCACTCCCTGTGAGCGAACTCATGGGTGGAACATGTAGGTGGTCTTATGGGTGGGCCTTATGGGCATACTCACCATCAGGCCCTGGGGGCCCAGACCTTGAGCTGTGTAAGGGGCCCCAAAAAATGGAGCTGCTTCACGTTCCCCCAGTACATTGACTTTTGTGACCACAGTTACAAACAGCTGCCAGACAGCCTGTTCTACACCAGACCAGTGGAGCCAGACTGCAGCCAGAGCCCATCATCATCCTCATCTAGTTGTAAGTAGGCAATCTAGTATATTATTTGTGGCACTAATCTCTAGTTTACCTCACATTAAAGGGACACTATAGTCCCCAGAACCACTGCAGCTTAATGTAGTGGTTCTGGTGTCTATAGCCTGTCTCTGCATGCTTTTTAATGTAAACACACACGATGTGCAGCACTGGCGTTAGTTCATATGGCAGATCATATGGGTGGGGCATTGTGATGTCACATGGGGGGTGGGGGGATGGCAGATTTTTATTTTGTCTAGGGCAAAAAAAATGCTTGCATCAGCCCTGTTGCTGGGCTCCTCCTTTGTGAGACTTTCCAGCAATAGCCCCCACTGTAGGCAGCCCGAGGTATCTAATCGCTAATCTAATACCAAATGCATTGGATGCCCAGTACCATAGGGTAGCATTTGGATTATTCTGATTGAGACATTTATTGATTTATTGTTGAATGTATTAGGCATAATGTAGCCTTCTCTAGAGCTGCATCTGGCTTCTAATCGCTTATTTACTGCTCTGTTAATTGCTTCCTGTGCTTGATTGAAGTTCAATTAACAGAGCAGGAGAAAATTACTTCTAATGTTAACACACTGTGCTTGGAATGTTCCCTTAAAAAATACTCAAGTAATATCAAATTAAAAAATAACATAGAAAAAGAACTTCTGTGTGCACACCCCAATTAAGTGTTCTGTGCACGCCTATGAAAATACATAGCCCAGCATATTGATATTGTGGTTTTTATTCATTATGTTGACATGTGGTTTATATCTAAAGGTACATTACCCTATTTTTGGAAGCTGTTACCATTTTATTATTACGGTTGTATGTTACTGCGACAATAACATTTTACATGTGCACCTTTATGTGGCTTATGTTACATAGTTACATAGCTGAAAAGAGACTTGCCAAGTTCAGCCTTCCTCACATATGTTTTTGTTGTTGATCCAAAAGAAGGCAAAAAACCCAGTCTGAAGCGCTTCCAATTTTGCAACAAACTAACAAAAAATACTTCTTGACCCCAAAATAGCAGTCAGATGTCTCCTTGGATCAAGCCGCTATCACCCCACTAATTAGAAATTATATCCCAGTATGTTATGTTTTTGCAAGTTGGATTGTGATGCTGTATTATTTGTCTTTGCAATTGCATTTCCTCTTTTTATAAATTAACATGTTCTATAGGGTTAAGCATTTGATCACATATTACATGTTATTATGTTCATGTTGGGATTACAGAGGACAAAATAAACAGTAAACAAACCTAAATACTTTTATACTAATGCAGAACGAACTGGTGTATATAGAATTCACAATGAATGCTGAAGAATGTGATGGCAGAACAGAACGAACATAGATTTGCGTCAGTAAAAGACATAAAGTCACAGCTTCCCACATGGCCAAGAAAACACTGTGAAGTGTATACATTATTTTTTAAGCATCTTTAAAAGCAAACACCTTGATAAGGATGCAGATAAAATCACGGTTGCATTTTCGATCCATACACTGTGACATGGTAAGAACTACTAAATCTAAATTAAACAAATTGTGTGGGGAAAAAAACAGGAAATTACCATTTGCATGCTTTATTAATGATGTATGCTATAACGATGTATGACTTTTTGCAGTTAAAACAACATTCATCCTGAAAAACCTCCTCTAATAAGATGTAGGTGTTCTTCCATGACAAATTAATTTTAGCATTTGCAACATCTGCATTCGCAGACCAAATTATGTTTGTACGGTGTTAAAATATGGAGATGGGGGGGGAGTAGTTGTAGTAATGTTTTTTGGCATACATTTTCCTATTTTATTATAGTTCACCTTCAGCATCTTATTGTTCCAGATGACTTACTCTGATATGATTTAAATGGCTACGAATCTGATACATGGGAACTGCTGTGACTGTCTGGACTTGTGAAAAATAAAGAGAATTTTATAGATTCATTATCTTGATTTAATAATAAACATTTCTTAAATAAAGTTGTTGTTTTTTTTTTTCATTAAGCCATTTTGAAGCATAAACATAAAGAAAGGCTCAGTTTTTACTTTTTTATTAATGCAGCTCTGTCACCATTGGGGGTCTTTATAGAGAAATGGGTGTTTATAGAGAAATGGCTTGATTCACATCTGATGAATGCAGATTCAGGTCTCTACCTTACTGTTGCTTTGACTTCGGTTCTGGCCTTTAAGGTAACCTAGATGATGTTATTGCTAGTGGAGTAAGTAGAAACAATTTATTGGATGCTGTCAAGCATTTAAACCTGGTTGTAGATTTCTTCTAAGTCTTCCCTGGACATCACCATCTAAGAGCCTGGCATTATCAATGGCTTCACTCAGGGACTGAGTATGAGTATGTACTCCCATTCCAGGGAGATCTTTTTGGAAAGGTCTTGGATCAAGCAATTAACAAATTGGTGTATCACAGAGCCCACTTGCACTTACCTGCTCCAGCACACCTATGGCATTCTGGAAGCGGGTCTGGGAGGGCTGCCGCTGCTGCGGAGCTCACTTGGTTTAGTCTAGTGTTCTCCATTGGCGTCAGGCTCTGCGATGGAGCCACCATGGCAAGATGGCAGCCACCATGCAGATGCCCGGGCTGTGCGTGGTGCATCTTCGGACAGAGTGAGGAGTGCTGGAGGAGCGTAGAGTGTGTCATTGGATCTCGGCTCCTCCTTTACTGCCATTGAGGGCTATGACTACAGGACAGTGTTTGTTGGTCACATTACATGCTCTCCCTATAAATTATTTGTCAGTGCTTGGTTTTTCTGGTACTTGCCCCAGTCTCCTGGTTCTGATTCCTGGTCCTTGTTCCTGGTTGCTGATTCCTGGTAAAATCTTCTCGGCTTCTGACCCTTGGCTTTGGCATTGACCACATTTTTTGCTTCTGAGCTTTAACCTCTGTCACCCTGCTCCCAATTTCTGGATTTCCTGGATTCTGACCTTCGGCTTGAATTTGCTCCTTTGCTGCCAACCCTGTTGATTGGACTGCCTGATACCGCTTCCTGTTTGCTCCTTTCTGGCTTTATCGCTTCCTCTGTAAATAAAGGCAGCCATGCCCTTATCGATCTCCAAAGTTCCCATATCACTCTCAGACTACTTCACTGAGTTTCACTGCACCTGGGAAGGTTGTGTTTGCATGGGGTGGCCTTTTCACTACAACTGAATTCCTCTCTAAGCAAAACCAACTGGTAGGTTTTCACACGGTGAAGTCAAAGACAAGTAGAAGACCCTTTAATTTGTCATGGAAAGACTGACACGGGGGGGGCGTGGCCTGACCGCGATGCAGAGCGGACGCTCGTGAGCTGAGCTCCCGCTAGACCGAGGCCCTAAAGCAGACAAAAGCAAAACACCCGAGCACCACCTACCCCGGGACCACACCGGCGGCTGCGGCATGGATAAAAGGACCCCGCGGAAACCTCATAAGCGGCCGTCGGAGCCGGGCGCTACAGTGGCGGACCTCTTCACAGCTTCCCGCGCAAATCAGCCTGCAAGGCAAGATGGCGGCCACCTCAGTCCCAGGACCTCCCCAGCACGCGAGCACCCGGAGCCCCCCAGGGGACAAGTTATACCAGCTGAGGAGACCTCTCAGATCCTGGCACAGCTGCTGGAAGTAAAGGCTTACCTGGCAGGGGAGATCAGCAGGTCCACGGCAGAGGTGAAAGCCGAGATCGTGCCGCTTGGACACCGCACGGCAGCCCTGGAACACAGGCAAGAGGCAACAGTCCTGGCACACAATGCGGTAACAGGCAGGGTGAATAACCTCACAGCCAGGTTAATAGCAGCAGAGGCGGCCTTAGAAGATTTGGCAGATCGTTCCCGCCGAAACAACATCAGGCTGCGAGGCCTGCCAGAACAAGAGGGGGAGGTGGACCTGACAGACACAGTCATGGCGATCCTAAAACCCCTAGCACCAAATATTCCAGCCCAACTGTGGCATCTGGACCGGATTCACAGGGCCCTGGGAACCAGGAAGGTAGATGCCAAACAGCCGAGAGATATAATTATGCGCTTCCAGCATTTGCAAACAAAAGAAACTATAATGAAGAATAGCAGAGACGGCCCTATCAAGTATAAAGGCAGCACTCTGCTACTGTTCCAGGACCTAGCCCCAACGACACTCCAGAGACGCAGAGAATGGCGACCGATCACCGACATCCTCAGGACCCACAACATAAAATATGCATGGGGCCATCCCTTTAAGCTTATGGCGTTCAAGAATGGCAGACCAAAGATCCTGCCACCTGATGGTGACGCAGCGGCTTTTCTCCAGGCGCTGGACCTCCAGGCGCCGCCAGACTTGCAATGGCGCGCGCCGACTCCGACAGACCTGCAACTGCTACCGAGAGAATGGCATACAGCGGGGGAACGAAGACACACACCGTAGAACGGACGCACACCAGGCACCCGCACCCGGACCGCCTCGCCCAGATGGACATCCCCAGGAGGGTGAGATGACAAGGGACATGAGGGGGGGGTGAGGACTTGCCCCCACCCCCAAGGTTTTTGGTACCACAAACGCTCACAACCAAAGCCCACTACGGGGGGTTTCTACCTTCTTGGACGCATACTAAAAAAAAAAAGGGGAGAAAAAACATTAAAAAAAAAAGAGGGGGCAACTTATACACATACCTGCGGGGAGTTCCATTCAGTACCCACAGATGCTGGGGAGGAAACAACAGAGGGACAAGGGGGGGATATAACTCACTTTAAAAAAAAAAAAAAAAAAAGATTTTTCTTCCAGCACACATTGGGAAGGGGGAGGATGGACTCATCTACAAAGAGGACAGGTGGCCGCTTGTGGGGCGGTGGGGGTGGGGGTGCTGCGGGGGGGGAGGGGGACGGGAGACCAGATTATAAGGCTGTAAGTTTGACATAAGCGACTCTAGCCCCTGCTGGCCCGCCCCCCCCCCCCCTTTTTTGCCGGGGCCCACGGACGGGCGCCGATGATACATGACATCCGAACGGTCGCCAACACCGGACTGGGCCACTCCTTAAAAATATACTATATGGACCATCCAGAACAGACACAGACTGATCGTGATATGCCCCCCGCCCCTTATGGACAAGATTCCAGCAACTTAGCGACCCCTAAGCGGAATGGGACTTCCCCCAACCCCCTGGGCGACGTAGGGACCGACGAGCGGGAAGGCCTGGAGGCGGGGATCACCCCGCAGACATGCTCACACAACCATTAACGGGCCTCAGGTCAAATTCATTCAGGTTCAGGACCATGCATCCGCGAGCTGACCCCACTGCAGGAGGGCCAGAGGTGCTGATGCAGATGCCCCGCACAAGTCTGGCAAGGGATAAGACCAGACGGTTTATCAGTTCAACCGTTTATTGTATATATGTTTATGTTTATTATATGGTTAATAACCTCTCTTTTTCCTTCCTACCTTCCCCTCTCCCCCCTCGTGGCGGCCGGAGCGACTCGAAAGCGGTACCTGAAACACCAGAGGGACAGGGTCCCCCAAAGGACGAACCCCAAGGCCCAACAGAGGAAGCCATCAGTAAGGTAGCCCACGCGCTTACACTTACGACACCACCATGTCTACACACATACACTCTCTAAATGTTAAGGGGCTAAACGCCCCAAAAAAGCGTAGACTATTATATAGAGAACTTAAGAGACTAGGCCCAGATGTGGCCTTTTTACAAGAAACCCACCTGCCCAAAACCCTGGGCATAACTCTCAAGGACCACATTTATAGCACAGGATATGAGGCTAGGTCGCACTCCAAACGCAACGGAGTAGCGATACTAATACATAAACGATGCCCACTGCGAGTCACGGGGGTCCACACAGACACGGACGGCAGATACCTTATCCTGACAGGGACGCTATTTGCTCACACGATCCATCTCATAAATATTTATGCCCCCACAGACTTCTAGGGATTTCTGGGAAAAATTGGCCGACAAATTACACACCCTGCCTCATGGTATGCTTATCATGGGGGGCGATTTTAACGCAGCCCCATGCCCAGCTATAGACAGAGGCAGCATAAGAGGTTTCCCGCGCTCACACGGCAGAGGAAGGTCAGACAAACTGATCCACGACTTCCTCTGCTCCACAGGTCTGATAGATGTGTGGAGGGCCCACCACCCGGGAGAAGCGGACTATACGTTCTACTCTGCGCCACATGACTCGTACTCCCGTATCGACTACTTTTTAGTAAATGACCATGCCATTCCAAAGATCACGAAGTCCACAATAGGATCTATCACATGGTCAGACCATGCAGACATTAGCTTAGAATTAGGAAACCTCTGCACCGCGACTCCATGGAACTGGAAGCTCAATGCGTCCCTATTACAGGACCCTACTATTCGAGAGACTATTCGCACAGAGATAGTAGAATATTTCCAACTCAACTCCTCTCCAGAGTTAACTCCCGCCACGGTATGGGCTGCTCACAAAGCGGTTATCAGAGGCACACTAATAAGGGAAGCCACCAAGAAAAAGAAACTGAAAACACAACAATTAAAGTCCCTCCTACGGGACTTACACACACAAGAGCAGAGACATAAAACTAACCCCACCCCAGATGGGCTTCTGGCCCTACAGACTACACGACGCCAAATAAAGGAGACTTTAGTGGCAGACGTAGCGAAAACTATGCTCTGGTCTAAGAGAACATATTATGAACAGGCTAACAAAATGCACACGTTTCTGGCCCGTACCCTACGCCCGCGCCCACGCCGAACACACATCACTACACTTAGGGATCGCGCAGGTCAGATCAAAACGGCACCGGCAGACATAGCGCGGATATTCACAGAGTTTTATACAACCCTATACAATCACACACCTACCGAGGCTGACAAAATACCGCACCTACGAGACGAGATCAGACAATACCTGAGCAAGCTAGACCTCCCGAAGTTGACCCCTGTAGCAATAGAGTCTTTAGGCGACGAGGTCACAGCAGATGAAATAAATAGAGCGATATCACGCCTCAACGGGCATAAGGCCCCGGGCCCCGATGGCTATGTGGGCAGCTATTATAAAACATACCGAGAAGAACTAACACCGCATTTATTAAAATGGTTCAACTATTTGATGCAGGATGGACGACCAGACCCAGATATGTCCACGGCCCATATAATACTATTACCCAAACCCGGAAAAGACGCAACATACCCTGAAAATTACAGGCCCATATCATTGATCAACCAAGACGTTAAAATACTAGCCAAAATATTAGCAGATAGACTGTCTCCACACCTAACACACCTGGTCCATGCGGACCAGGTGGGTTTTGTCCCCGGACGACAGTTATTTGAAAACACCAGGCGTAACATTGACTTAATCTGGACGCAGACGATCACACGCACACCAACGCTCATGCTCTCTCTCGACGCGGAAAAGGCGTTCGATAGGGTAAACTGGACATACCTATTCGAACTCCTTCGACATCTCCACTTCCCCGAACGGTACATTACCACGATCCAAGCTATGTACACGGACGTTAAAGCACACATTCAGATTACGGGCGCCCAGACACCCCCTTTTAATTTACACAATGGCACGCGCCAGGGTTGTCCGCTGTCTCCCCTCCTGTTTGTCATCACTTTAGAGCCCCTACTGCAGGCGATCAGATTGAACCAATTAATACACGGAATCTCAGTGAGGGACCAAACATTCAAAGTCTCAGGCTATGCGGACGACGTCCTTCTCACGCTTACAACCCCAAGGACCTCAATGCTCGCCTTAGATAAAGAATTAGCAGACTACGGAGCCTTATCGGGATATAAGGTTAACCTGGGCAAATCGGCCGCACTCCCAATCGCAATGACAATGCACGACGCTACATACATAAGCACCCAACACCATATACCCATAACGCACACCTCCATAAAATATCTGGGTATACAACTCACCGCTGACCCCTCACAACTATACGGGGCGAATTTCACACCGATCCTCCGCACCCTTAATGCAGACCTTGACAGATGGACTGACAAGCCAATATCCTGGATCGGGCGGGTCCATACGATAAAAATGAACATCCTCCCGAGACTCCTCTTCCTTTTTCAAGCGCTTCCCATACCCATAACTAAAACAGACCTAGCCCCCTTGCAGAGGTCCATAGGGGATTTTATTTGGCAATGCAAGCGCCACAGAGTAGCACGCAATGTACTGTATAGACCCAGGGAAGGGGGTGGACTGGGCCTCCCCCATCTCTATAACTACTATTTAGCGGCTCAACTGGCGCAAATAGCTATGTGGCACTCAACACCAGACGACCGCAGATGGGCTGATTTGGAATCAGGAATCATGGGAGCGGACCTGCCCCAATTTTACATGTGGCTTCCCAGGGAACACAGGGCTATCCTGCGCACAGATTGCCCGGCGATCCTCAATTCCCTTAGAATCTGGGACGCAGTGGGCCAAAAATACAAACTAACCACCACACCCTCTCCTCTGATGCCCTTGTTGAGGAACAGAGCGTTCCCACCGGGCATGAGGGCCCGAGACTTCAGAAACATTGAGGTGGCGGGCCTACGGCGAGCGATCCACCTGTATGAAGGGGACCAAATAGTGACATTTGATAAGCTACAGGAAAACACCAGGCTTAGGCCCCCGACTTTTTTCGCTATATTCAAATCCGAGACTTCGCACAACACAATCTGGCCAAAACGGCAGCACATACTGAGCCCACGGGCTTTGAGCGAATGTGTCTCAAAGAAAACCCCCCAAAGGGACTTATTTCATACCTATACGCACATTTATGCACAAACAGTGATTGGGGCGACTTGACCTACACCGTCCACTGGGAAACAGACCTCAAAGAGACTCTAGAGGGCACAGAGTGGAGAGAAATATGGGACGCAAACAAAGCTATTTCCACGTGCGTTACCCACCAAGAGCAGGCCTATAAGACCATGCTGCGCTGGTACACTACTCCAGTAAAATTATACCGCATGCGTAAAACTCCAAACGACTTGTGTTGGAGGGGCTGCGGAACCAAAGGGACGTACATCCATATGTGGTGGGAATGCCCGAAAGCGCAGGCCTTCTGGAGAGAAGTGGGCAACCTCCTAAGTGAGGTTTTTCACAGACAAGTCAAAACAGACCCATGGGTTTTTCTGCTCTCCAGAACACTAGAAGACTGGCCTAAAAAGGACCAGAAACTCCTACACAAAATCACACTAGCGGCCAGACTCACCATGGCGCAGGCATGGCTCCAAACTACAATCCCACAGATCAACACTGTACTCCACAAAATCAAAGATATCCAGGTCATGGACCACCTTACCGCACTAGTGAGAGACACCAGGACACGATACGAAAAGGTCTGGGAACCATGGTTATCAGGGAACTGGGAGAGCTACGGAACTCCCACTACAGGGCCTTCCCAAAGTGCCAACACTTAACTAGACACCAACAGAGCCTCTCACCGTCCCTGCCCTTCCTTCCCCCCCCCCTGCTCTACCCTTGCCTTTTATAATACGGCCTACTGGGGGCTACAATCAGAGCTGGACATCTGCGGTACTTACAATACCCAGTTATGGCATGTTTTCTTCTCTCTCTTTTCTCTTTATCCCTTTTATTGTATAAAGACTCACAATCTCTCATAAAATGTATGTATGTATGAAAATGCAAGAAAAATGACACTCATTAGCACATTTTTTCAAGCTGAACACACTCACGCAAACTGTAACGATGATATAATCATCTGTACATTGGATTACGTATTGGTTACCTATACCTTGTACCACATGTGTTTCTTCAGTATTGTATCGCACTGTCATACCAAAAATAAAGAATTTAAAAAAAAAAGGAAAGACTGACACAACAGGGAATGGGCCAGGAAGATATTCTAAATTCAGGAAGAGAGTACTCTCAATCAGCCCTATTAAGATCTCAGCCGCGCTAGGGGCGTGGCTAACCGCCGGACGAAATGGACACTTATTCCTGAGCTCCGGCATCTGGGCTAACAATCCAGCGCCATCCTAGCACACAGAAAGCGGGAAAAGCTTAAAATAGCAAGATGTCACAGTCTAAGGCAAGAAAGACTGCCTCTAAAGCCGAAAAACTGAATTGATTTGGCCAAAAACCAAATCAACCTGTGGGTGACTGTCAGGCGGCCAACCAGGATGGCGGAGAGGAGGCAGAAAATGGCGATCTCTCACCAACTACTTTGAGCAAAGAAGACACGCTCACTCCAAGCCACCTCACAAAAGCACT